ACGCAGGATCCAGGTTCACTAGTTTGTGCAGGAAGTCGTCGTTTATCGCGCATCTCTTCCTGTTTCTATATTTAACTTTCATATCTTCCTGTTCGAATGGCCAATCAAATCGGAGCGTCTCATGAAAACAAAGAGATCCGATTAGACAAATCCATAAAGATGAACAGATATGAGGAGTGAGAGAAACACATGAAGGGTGTGAACTGACTGACCCAGAAGATCAGCGCGCATCACTAAAGGACAACAAAATGGCTCAGCAAGTAAAAATAGACAGAAGATAAAATGTTTTCATCTTTAATCTTAGTTTATGATTCAAAGTGTTGTAATTCTGAACACACCTACAATGCAGTGAAACAACAATTTCATTTCAGGTCATCAAACACAGCCTAAAAGAACCTAAACAACCCGATCATCTGTGGAAAACTCGCTCTTCCCATTTCTAAGAATTGCTTTCCCAACCTTGACAGCAATCAAGCCTTTCCCACCCTTAGATACTGAAGTCTTTTACTCCTCTGTCAATGAACTTTGGCCCATTTCTCTTTGCAGAATTACTTCATTTCAACCACAATGGAGAGTTTTTGACCATTCCATGACCTTAGTGGTCTTTACTGTCATAAATACAAGTTATGCTGACGTTTATCGAACATCGTCTACAAACATTCAGTAAACATCGGCTGGATTTTAACTAGATGTTTGCTGAATGTTTGTTCTTGTTTTCTGGAGACGTTCGCCGTGAACGTTCAGCAAACATCGGCTGGACTTTGTCGTTCGCTGAACATTAAATGGTGTTTCGTTTTGATGTTTGGTGAACATTGTCTGCAATGTGAACGTTTGCAAATGACGTTCACCAAACATCAAAATGAATCACCACTAAACTTGTTTTATAGGATTCCAATGGATTTTACCAAGAGGTTCTCAGAACACACTGCGAACATTCAGTGTTTTGTTTTGATGTTCATCGAACATTGTCCGCTAGCATTTTGTAAACGGTTCACTGATGTTCACAGAACATCAAAACCTTAAGCAATCTGTGAACATTGGCTAGTCTCTACTTACATGTCCACTGAATGTCCACCAAACATTTAGTTTTCTTTTGACATTCAGCGAATGTCTGCAAATGTTCGTCAAATGTTCAGTTTTACCTGAGAATGACCCGTTTAAGGTCACCTACACTGTTTTCAGTCAGATATATTTGGTGTTTGATCCACTAAAAGTGTTTTTAGAGGGAGTCTGAAGTATTTATCAATTTCAACAATGAACCAGCGGTTGTGTTCAACATCAGGGATCCACTGACTGTCGATTCAACTCTTGTTTTTATGTTGCAATGAATCTCATTAAAATGTGTTTTCAAAAATCTTTTAAAACAGTACAAATTTGTTTATTATATCTATATATAGGTTTATTAGATATATTAAAGTGAAACTATCCCTTTAAAAGCGACCCATCCTTCACAGCCTCGTCTTGGTTCTGCTCGGTTCTGAAGGCTCTAACTGGGTTTTGCTCGTGAGCAGCAGATGAAACATGAAGATGGCTTTGAGATTTGATGGATCTGCTTCAGACCACATTACTGCGACCCCCGGGTTGTCAGCGCATAAATAATGAGATAACTCACACACATGTTGCGGCGCCGTCGTTCTGTTGAACACCTTGGAAAATATGCAGAGCGAAGGTTCAGATCAGAGGAGAAGAGCAGGAAAACGCTTTAGGATTAGAGTGGGAAACGCTGGATTTACACGTCGTCCTTCCTCGTGATGAAGTGAAACTTACGGAAGCACTTAACTGCCAAATCTTGTAAAAACAAGACAACTCTCGTTTTATTGCGATATAAAAAATCTCGCAAACAAGAAACTTGTCCTATTTTAATGACACAAATGTTAAAAGAAGAAAACTTTGTTTTAACAAAGTTTATATTTTCTTAAAACCAAAATATCTTTCAAATAATAAATGCCATAACGCTAAAAGTAGGATTTTTAAATTTGGTTTAAAAAATTAAAAAAAACAACAGGGTGAGAAGAAGGAATCTGTCAGAATAATTATGTGAAAGTTTCTCATTTTAACAAGATACTGTTCCTGAATTTATTTTGAATTTTGGCAGCAATATGCTTCCACAGTACCAGAAAACTAACTTACCAGCACTTATTAACTAGTTTTCAATCAATAATTATTGAAATTTGATTTTTTTTCACTTATATTTTTCATGTAATAAGTGAGATAATCCACCTGTGGAACTAGTCCTTTAAAACTGTGAACTGTTGATGCTAATGTTAGCATGGGGAGGTCTGTGCTGCTGCAACATGTTTAGCATCAAAATGCTAGTTTAACTTAGCAAATATGCCAACTCCTGGAGAAGAGTACATGGATTCTGTGATCACATTAAAATTTCAAAACTGAAAAACTTGACAAACCTTTGGAAAAGGAACTTAAAGAAGGAACTAAAATCTGAAGAGTCAGCAGGCTTTCATAATGATTATGATGTGACAACGGGCCGACTCATCCCTTCTAGAAATTTTTAGCACATGAATGATTTAAGAAAACTGTGAACAAAGGTGGTTCGACAACGGGTCAGAGCAAAAAGGCCAGTTTATTGGAAACGTCTTGGAGCTTTTGGTAGTTTTGGATTCAGATAAATTCCCAGAAGAAATTCACTTTGTCTCATCATTACCGTCATTTACTTCAGGTTGTGAAACTGTTTCTAGGAGCTAAAAACAAAGATATTGATGTTTTCAACACGTTTCTATGTAGGTTTCTAAAGTGAAATTAAACTTTAACCGTCCGCCTCGTTTTGAGAGATCTGTATTGAAAATTACATGCCTGGACTCATTTTTGCAATTTATTATCACTTTTTCAAGGAGAAAAAAAATCAACATTTTTCCCAGTAAATGTTATTTTACGAAACATTTTTGGTTGCGAAGTTAAGCGGTCTGCTACTGGATGTTTTGCATCAAACTTTTTCCGGCAATAAAACTTTGACCATTTGCTTTTACGTACTCTACTTCCATTCTGTTTGAAATTGAGCCGTTGAGCCAGAAATTAGAATCAATTTAAAAAATATCTTCAAATAAACAAAACTTGAAGAAAATATTCAACAGTTTGCACTTTTATCCCATTTTTAATCTGTTGGCATATCTCATTTATTAGTATTTTCATTAATTAGTGGTTTACTACATCAGAGTGTACAGTGTATTTAATGTCACAACAGTTTTTGCTTCGCATAAACAAACAGAAAGTAACAACATCTTCTGCAGAGAGAAGACTCTGGAAAAACCAGCAGAAAAAGGACTGAATCTCATGTTTTAACACAAAAAAAATCCAAAAACCCTCCAAGATGCGCTAATGCTGTTAGTCAGAAACAAGTGAAACCAGTTATAAGTTTGACATGCGGGAAAATGTTTTTTTTTTTTATGTAAACCATCAGTAAACTGTCCAAACACACAGTATTGCTGCTTCATTGACGGAACAACGTCGTACAGCAAAGGCACATTCAACACCCCGTTCCCTTTTGGAAAAGTAAAAAACAAACCAAAAAAAAAAAAAAAAGACAAAATGTAACTAAAGTTCTCGTAGAAATGCACAAAATGAGACGCCGCTCAGCAAAATCAAGACAGAAAGCGGAACAAAATGTTCTTCATGAAACAGAAAAACGTACATTTAGGTCTGAATCCCTTTAAAAAGCACACACTGTTCGTTAATTCATTAAACGCGCTGCTGCATTTTCCAATATTGCACCCAAGTTCAACAACAACAAAGAAAGAGAAATAAAGGAAGGAAAAAAAGATTCTTATTAGTTTGAGAAACAATCTAGTGTGAAAGTAAGTAGATGTTGTGCTTTAATTAGTGAACTGTGTGTAAAAGTATTGAGATCTTGGCGTCATGGAAGACAGGACTGAGTGTGCTTGGCATTAGTTAAATGGTTCTACACAAACAATGTAAAGTGGTTGCCAGGTTGGAGCATTATCCCCCGCTCCACTTTAAGACCCAGTTATTTATAATTATTTATAAACAAACACCCTTTCTGTTCTGATCAAGTTTCACTATAAGGATTGGGAGGGAAAAAGTTGCCATGTTTGGACAACATCCCCCATTTTCTTTAGCTTTGCGTCTCTCATTCTCTCTGTGTGGAGGTGTAAAGTTCTGGCACCGGTTCAAGTATTTACAGGTTGTATATTAGGTGGTTTTCTGTGAAGTGGGTTTGTTTGAGAGCCTTTTGTATAAATATCATCAGTCAAAGCAACCAAACAACAAAATTCACCAAATTTAGCAGCAATAAACAGAAACATCTGTGTTTACAGAGAAATTATTGCTTCATAGGGAGCAAAACATCTATATTTTGTTGTTTCACTGATGTTCTGTAAAAAGGGTAAGCTATCTAAAAAGTAGTTTTGAACATTTTTTTCAGCTCGAGATCATTTTTTTCATGATCTCATGAAAACAAGATCATTTTTTCTTTTCTTTTTTTCCCAAAAAAAAAAGAAAAGAAATGTTTTGGCTCTAGTTGTGTTCCCCAGTTTTGCAGTTGGTTTCCCAACTTGTGTAAATCTATGCTTCCTTCCTGTTGTCGTTCTAAAAAAAACAAACTTTTGCAACTGAGTTTTTACAATTGAACCTGAACAGTAGTTTTGAACTTTTTTCAGCTTTATATCATTTTCAGTTACAAAGATTTTTATAATTATTATTTTTTAGCTCCATAGATCTGGTTTCCCATATCCATAAACCAACTCCAGTATTTTATACTGAAAACCTAACAAGGTAATAAGCTATTTTTTTTTTTTTTTACCTTTACCTTAAATGACCTGCTAATGTTAAAATGACAACAGTGTAAAGATTTTTCATTTTTATTTTAAAATGGTCGAATTCTACTTTGGTAAGATATTGACAGCTCATGACTGCTCCACAGAACTCCGCTTTTGAATAAATCTATAATATCTCCAAAATTAGTATGGTTCTTCAGTCTAAATGAGATGTTGACTGCTTATAACTGCTCCATAGATCCACATATCAGCCAATATTCAATAAACTAGGAACTGTTTTCCAATCCAGGATCACTGAGACTGAAGCCTGGGAAGATAGTGACTGCTCATACTTAGGCCACAGAACCCAAATATTCCTTAAATGTTTATTTTTCCCCCTCTAAGCTAATGTTTCAAGGCTTTTCATTCAACCCCACTTCGCAGAATCCAAACTACAGTCATGTTAAAAAGAAAACACACCCAAAGGTGTACTTAGTTTCACAAAACATTTCCATTTTGGTTCCATTTGTGTTTTTTTTAAACTGATGTTTGCATTTGAATGTTAGACCATTTGTAAATTTTGATCCAACAACCAGTGGGTGTCTTTTTTTATTTAATATGACTATATCCCTTTAAGAAAATATTGCAGTAACATTCTGTATTTACTTTGCTTTTTTTAAACTTTATTTCAGTGCTTTTCTAAGTTTTCAGCAACCTAACATGACATCACAAACGGCAGAATAATCTCTCAGACGTACATTCAACGTGCTTCATCGTTGTGCTACAGGAAACGAAGACGAGCGAAGTGGAAGACAATAAAAGTCGCTTCTTAAACCAACCTATTCAGTCGGGAAAAATGGAAGAGTCTCAGGCTAAATTTGGTGTTCATGGATTCCTTATGAACCGTTTCCATGGAAACGTCTTACTCAATGAGCCATGAGTCCTGAAAGGCCAAATGAGAATTGTTTTTAACTAAGTTTGACCAAATTTTTGTTTTTTATTGACCTTAAAAGTCGTGAAAGTACAACAAACCATGTAGAATGAAATATTTTCAATTTTAAAAATTTTTTTATCCTCCAATTTGACAAAAAAAATCTTAGTTTTACTTTTGTCTTGACCTCTGAAGTTGAGAGAAGTCCAAAATTTGGTCAGACTTTGAAAATGTTTTATTTTCTTGTTTGGCCTTTCAGGGCTTCCGTACATCTGGCACCATATGGAGGAATAAGTCAAACCTGACAGCATGAATGACGTTCAGGAGCAGCACCTTTAGATTCGGCTCATTAATCTGCTGCTTCTCCACCAAAATAAAGGCTCAGTAGCTTTCTACAAGGATTTGCTAACTGACGGCAGCTTGGTTAGCAACTAAAGAGCAGGAGATCGAATGGAAACGAAAACCAAAATCGCGGCGCTAGTTCTGATTTTTGGCTGATGGAAGGCGCTCCTGACCAATCAGGAGGCTCCGTTTAGGCGTGATGCTGCGCGATGAGGTTGCGTAGCTGTTTGATGACGGCGTCGATGAGCTTCTGTCGGTCTCTGTCCGCCTTCTTGAACTGGGCGAGGACGACATTCTTCCTGCTCGTCTCCTTCATCCTGGAGGCAGAAAAACGAGGACAGGAGATGTTTTGGGGGTGAAAGGTCAAAACGGGGTTAGAGGAGTGTAAGAAAATGCATCTGCAACAACTGTTCAACAGTCCTCTGAAAAACTATTTACCATTTAGGTTCCCAAAGACTTTTTGTTCAAATGATGGGAAAATTATCGCGGACAAATTTAAATCTTCTCACAATAGAAGCAGGTTTTATGGTTTCTCCTGCAAGGTTTGCATCTTTCCTGTGACTTTGCCTGAAAAGCAGCAGCACCCAAATCTGTTTGTGATTAATTTACTAAAATTGACTAAATACAAGAATTCAAAAGAAGATAAATGGACTGAAATTATATAGTGCTTTTCCAGTCATTTTGACCACTCAAAGCGCTTTACACTGCAGCCACATTCACCCATTCGCACATTTATACACCGATCGGTGGGCAATTTGGGGTTCAGTGCCTTGCCCAGGGGCACATAGGCATGAAGCAGGAGGAAGCTGGAATTGAACCTACAACCTTCTGATCGCAAGACAACTACTCTACCCACACAGCCACAGTCGCCCACAAGAGTTACTTAAACTGTGTTTCATTGCTGAGAATAGATTAAATCGAGCCTAAATTAAATTTGTAAAGTGTTTTAATAAAGGAGCAATTTAGACATTTTGGAACATCAATGATTTACAAATAAAATTTAAATTGTTATTTTATTTGTTTAATTGAAATATTTAATGTCTAGTTCATTGTAGAGGTGGTAAAATAATTCTTAATAAAAGATTTTTGTGATTTTAGTCTAAAAAAAAAAGCATTTTGCCAGTGAGTATTCTGGAGTTCTATTATGCAAAATTCACTTTTTGTATAAATTGTATTCTTCTGTTTGTGTTTCTGCTGATTCTAGAAGCAGCCTAAGCACTTAAAAAACACACAGACACTTTTTGTGGGAATAAATTAATATTTTAGGTGTCTGGAAACTGAGCTTTTTAAAAATCTATCAAATGTAATGTCACGTTTGAAAGGGATTCCACCGTTACCTAGCAACCTCAGCCAAGCCCAGCCGTTACCTAGCAACCCAAGCTGAGTTCCAGCACGTTTGGTCAGCTGCTTTTTTCCCCTGCATGCGCTGTACTTTGTCTGCTGGAAAAGCCAAGTGTTTTGTTGTTGACTTACCATCCAGAAACCACTTGCTGCATTCTTATTATGTTGTGCAGGAGGCTCCACTTCTGCTTTTCAATGATGTATGGTTGTATAATTGCAAATTTAAGAATGATTTTATGCAAAAGAATGTAATGAACATGTTTTGTATCGCCCATAGAGCTGTCGTAAACTGTTCAAAGAAGCATAATAGGTCTCCTTTAAATTGATACATAAAGTTTTGACACCCCTGGCAAAGGGGAAATACTTTTGGACAGTACTGCAAACGCATTAAAAACACATACAGATATGCAGTTCCATATTGGATCTCCAGGAGGTTTAGTCATACCTCGTCTCCTTTTGGGGTTTGTTCATTACGTATTCGTGTTCTTGAGCACATTATTGGTGTAAAAACTTTCACAAACCATTAATCCACAAGCTCTGATTAAAACTGTTTTCATGCAGGCTCAGTGTGAGGGAGGATGTGATTCAGATCAGTGTTGCCACACAAGCTCAGATCTCTGCATCGTCAGCGATCGTTCAGATACAGGCCGATGGGGGCTGCGTTTTTGGAGAGATAAACCTCAGTATCATCAACATATCGGCTGATTTTCCATTAACACAGAGAGTCCCTCAGGTGAGATTTCACACTCACGCTATTAAAACTGGTTAGGGGGGGTTCAAAGTCACATGCCTGCACTCAACATGACACACACAACCGTACAAACGATACTCACGGCTTAAACAACCTGTCCGAACAGGAGGAGAAGGAACGACAGGAAACGGGAGTTCAGATGAAGACGATAAGCTGGGAATCATTTCCACATCGTTTTGTTGTTCTTCTACATGTACGTGGGACAGATCTCACATTCCACCCTAAAACCATGATTTCTGGTTCTGGTCTGATTTCTGAATCTGAATCAACAGCATTTAATACATTTGTTTTCTTTGGCCTTTCAGCCAATTGATTATTGGGATCAGAGGTGACGTCACACTGTGTGTGGAAGACAAACCGCTGTAAAGCAGGGTTGAATGTGGAGTTACATTTTTTTTAAGGTTTTATAGATTAACATGGTTACAGATGTCATAGATAACATCTATAAATGTTTTAGATGTTATCTATGACCCTAAAACGTTAGCCACTAACGTTTTAGGGTCAGGGTAAGCTAATTCTAGACACTAATCATAAACATCAGCTCTGCTAACGCTAAATTCAATCCCAGCACATTGCCCTCAACAGGCTCACATCTGTCATTACTCTCCTACCTGTACGGTTTGCGCTTCAGGAAGTGATTCTTTGGACCTTTCACTCGTGATTTCAGTTTTAAAGTTGTTGAGAATTGCTAACTCTGTTTCTGACTTTATCTGAGAATAAAATAACTTATATATAATATATATAATATAATATAATATAATATATTTTTTAACAGAAAAAAATGAGGGTGTTCCAAGCTGACTAGCAGTGCTCAGCAACTAGTTTTAAACTTTTTAGCCATCTTGCAATCAGTAAATCCAGAAAATTTTATTTTCTTAGCAGTTTTTCTGTAAAAATGTTTCATAAACTTGATAGCATGACATATAGCAGCAGCTATGCTAATCTTCTGCAGTAAAAACCCTGTGAAACCCAGAGTGTCGCTAAAACCGTTACTCACTTCTCCAGCAGGGCCAGCGCAGTGTGTGGGTTGACTCTCAGGTATTTGCAGGTGGACTTCCCGTAGTCAGCCAGGTAAGTGGACCAGTCCCACTGGGTGAAAAGGTCCAGTAACTGAACCAAAGCATTGAGAAAAAGGAAGAGAGATTTAGAGAGAATGACTCAGATTCAAAGATCAGATGAAGCCTGAGAACGTTAACACCAACATCAACAACGTCCGCATGCAAAGGGCGATATGCTAACCAGCTACAGGAGCAGGGAGTTACCACACTGCAGCTTTAAAGCTGCAAAATATCATCAGAAATATGGAGAGATTTATGGAGATTATTGAAATTAAGAGTTTTTTATGAGAAACTTTTTAGGCACAAAGTAAATTCAGATTTTTTAAAAATAATTTCTTAAACTTTTAACCATTTTTTTTAAATCTTTGCTAGTTTTTCACTCCAAGCAATAAAAAAGATAATTTATTAGTACATTTCCAGTTGTGAGTATTCTTTACAGCATCATTTAGAAACTAAGGCTTGGATTCAAACCTGATCCAACTGCTTGTTTAAAACGTCTGAATGAGGAAGAGACGGCTTGGTCTCTGACTGACCTTCCTGTTATGAGTTAACTGTGCTGCGTTTTCTCAGTGCTAAACGAGCAAAGCGCAAACAAAGCAGCCATAATCTTCCTAAGAACTTAGAGGGGACTATACAAACTGAATTAGCATTGGATTCACAAACACTGGGGCTGGACAGTTTCTTTTGCTCCAACATGACAAATACCTGACCTCCATTAAAAGCTCTGTTTTTATGACATCTCAGAGCTAAATGTCACTTAAAAAACAAAACAAAGAGCAAATAAAGAGGCTATGAGGAACGGTGTCATCTTCGTCTAACTGACCCACTATTCAAAGTGTTGCATAACCAGCTGCTGCCCTGCTGAACCCTGCGTAAAACACACATGCAGAAACAGGCAGGCTAACCCGTAAGCCACCTCCGTCTGTGTGTGAGCAGGGAGCCCCAGTGAACTCCACGTAACACCAAACACACACAGATCCAGAGAGAGAAACCATATGTGAGCGAGGGATGAGAGAGGAGGAGGTGGAGCAGAGAGATGGAGAGCAAAACCACATGTGGGGAAGATGGAGGGCACAAATGAAAGAGCAGAGATGGAAACAGACACCGAACAGCGAACGCGACAAATGGGAGGAGAGGCAGGGTGAGGAGTGGAATGACAGGCTGCCGAGGAAAGGAAGAGCTCATATTTAGCCTTTTTGAATGACACCAATTTCTTTTGAACTATTTTTAAAAGGGGGTCATGTGGGAAAACTACAAGCATTCAGTATCCTATCTACAATGGACAGATTTCTGTGTGGTTTCAATTTGAGGAATCATAGAGATGTTCGAATTAACGGCTTCTCAGAGTAAAGATAACAGCTTTTCAAAGCTGAACTGACAGGAACTCAAACTCAAGCTAAAGTTTCACAGAGTCCAGCTAACGACTTCTCAGAATCAAGCTATAAAGTCACACTGACAAGCACTCAAACTCAAGCTAATGTCTTCTAAGAGAAGCGCTAAAAGCTTTTCATTTGCTAACAGGCACTCAACTTCAAGAAAACTTCAAGCTAACAGTTTCTCAGAGTCGAGCTATAAAGTCAAGCTAACAGGCACTCAGACACAGGCTAACAGCTTTTCAGTGTTGAGAAAATGGCTAAACTTGGCACACAGACTCAAGATAACCGCGTCTTGGCTTCAAGCTACGGGCTTTTCAGTGTCAATCTAATGGCTTCACATAGTTGAGCAAACAGGCAATCAAATTCAAGCTCGCGGTTTCTAAGAGTCCAGAAAAATGGCGTTTCACAGTCTAACAGAGTTAACAGGCACTGAAATTCAAGTTAAAGGTTTCCAAAGGCCAAGCTAACAGGTAGTTAGAATTGAGCTAGCAGCTTCTAAAAGAAGAGGCAAGTTGAGCTAACACTGTAGTTCAAGCCGAAGGCTTTTCAGAGTCAAGCTAACAGCTACCAGTCAAACATGGTGGTGGCAGTGTGATGATCAGGATCAGAATGACGACATTATTGATGGAACCATGAATTCTGCTCCCTGCTACAACATTCTGAAAGAAAATGTTGCTGCAGGACGTAGATTCAAAACATGCTAGCAAAGTATTCCTTAGAAACAAAACTAAAACGCTAAACATGTTGCTGAAATAAATCAATGTTGCAAAGAAAAGTAGGTGAAGTATCTCATGAGTGATGTAAGAGTCACTGATCACCAGTTGTTGATGGTCCAGGGTGCAGTAAGTTTTTCACATTGAGCCACAGGTTAGTTTTGACAGCTTTTCTTATCTAATAAATGACGTTACAATTTGTTTGCTCAGGTTATTGTCCGGTATCACTTGAGTTAAGAGGTTTCTTAAACGTAAACTTGAATCATTTCCTCCATTTTTATGACCGCTGTAAATCTAAGTGAGGAGGTCAAGGCTGCCATTCCCTAAAACAGGAAGTTTCCTGAATATTTGCTCTGTTCGGTTCAATCAGCCATCACAGGGAAGACGAATGCCTCTTTGTACTTCCTCCCCTTTCTCCTTGTTTTCCTCCCACCTTCGTCCAACTCCCACTATCTGCTATCTGTTTTCTTCTCCTTCCCCGGTCCTCCCACTGCCGTGTTCCCCTCTCCTTGTCCTCAAGTTCACCCCGCTGTGGCCGAGGTTTGACCCGCTAATCCTCTCGTATAAACAAGTACAAACAGGCGTGCTGCGTGTGCACTCAGGAACAGGTACATGGCAGAACGCACAAAAAGGAAAAAGATCGGTGTTAATCAGATACAGGAAGCTGAGCAGGACTTTTATGGCTGTGTGGATGCAGCTTCACAACAAAAAAGGATACATTTATGTTTATTTATTCCTAATTCATATCAATCATCCAACTGCTGCTGAATATAAAGAACAAACTGTCAGTTTATCTCATTATAATGGTGTCCTTTACTGAGAAACGTCTCCTCAGCTGTTTGTCCAACCAGATTTTGGAGGACATTGGCCGGTTCCCAACAGTCCAACTTTTCTCTCTCCGCTCCAATGCTTGGTTTTTACTGTTGCCAATGTTGTCACTGTGAACCTTTTTAATTGTTTCTGTTCATTTGATTTTAATTAGTGAAATCCAGTCCAATTTTAAGGGATTAAATTAACACAGAAATTAATTATTTATTCTGCTGGATGAACTCAGTGGGTCGTTTGGTAGATTTGGTTGGATTCGGGACCAAATTTGCGACATTTGTTAAATTTTGTGGTTCTCTTCCACACTGCACCGAGTCACACCAACCAAACTGTTTTAAGAACCTGTTCCCCTCCTCGCCTGTGGTGGCGCTGCACCAAGAGCCACCGAAGGAAACGACACGAAAACCTGTGAAGGAAACAGTGAGCGCCACTTCCTTATTCACAGAATGTAGACAGAAATGGAGTGGCGTCAGATTTAAGGGGTCGTAGGATTTATTTTTTGTTTTTGGAAAAAAAAAAAAAAAAAACACGAGCCATTTCTCCTGCCAGTGCCAGACTTCGTTTTGGTTGTATTTACCCAGAATCCCCTGCACTATAGTCCACTTCCTGCTTTTGGAGCGTTCTTTGGTCTGTTCGCCGGTCTAATATACATTCGATTAATAACTTTCAAAAACTTTAAATACTTCACATCCATAAAAATCCTGAAGTATTAATACAACTCACCTGATATCAGGTTATGAGTTTTATATAAAGTAAAATGTATGCAAAACATTTCAGTAGAAAAAAACAAGAACAAAAGAAAAATCGACTGCCACTGACCCAGTTTACTCCCATATGAATACAAAACTTTGTTTGTAATGAAAACCAAATCATTAAACACTTGAGATAAACAGTTTGAGATTTTGCCTGTGTGAGGTCAACTGGTGATTCCCAGTTTGTCTCAAGAACTACTAATAACCATCTGAAGCTGATTTATGATGATTAGATGATTTAATTTAGTAATAAATCTTTGTTGCAGTGTATAGTCTGGCAAATCAACTCTCTTGAGATTCATTTTATTTTAAACTAATGGTGTAATTTAATGCGTAGCTAACTGAATAAGTCAGCTTATCCTGACAATTACAGATGGTTTTTGAGATTTACTCAAGCTGAAGGGAGGACAGATAAAAGGCTTCCTGCAGTTGTTGCTTTACAGGAAGCAACCCTGAAATGTCGTGTTAACACTCACCAGGAAAGAAGACCAACACCAAACCGCAGACCGATAAGCTGGCAGCACAGCTACAATATTTACATTTTATCTGAAAATGGGCTGCTGCCTAAACTCTGGGACACCAAATCGGTTAATCTCTTTTTAAAAACGTGTGGCGTGTTTGAGCTGTTAGCGTGCTGAGCTCAGGCTAACAGATTACAAATGGCCCATAAAACATGCAACAGAAACAGGCAACTTAATACGCGTCTGCAGGAGAAAGAAAACACACAGCAAAGAGAGAGAAAATTAATAATTTACAGGCAGTTAAAGGGGTAACATGGTGTAGCATCCATCACTACCGTTGCAACCGTTTTCAAGGGAAGTTTTCAAACTTTTCCAGCATCATACTTTGAAGATAGAAACACAAATTAAGACAATTACAGTTCACTATTAAATATAGGGCTGGAAAATAAATCAATAATTCATATTTCAACAGACACATGATCAATATCAATAAAATATCCAATATTTAACAGAGAATATTCACTGAGCTCCGATCCAAAGGAAAGACTTAAGCTGTGTCCGAATTCAGGGTCTGCATCCTTCGAAGGACTGGTCTAGGTAGGACGGGTCCTTCGAAGGCCGGGAATAAACTAAGACCGGAAGAAAAATATCTGTGGATTCGGACAGGTCTAGCCTTCACCAACTGTCCCCATCTCAGCGTAACTCATGTTGCCAAGCAACCGTGACAGCGTGAAGCAGAGAGCGGAGAAGAAAAAAAAAAAAAAAAACGGAGCCGAAGTTTGTTTTTCAGTCATGTATTACTGATTTCTATATTATTCTTCAACTTTTATAGTAAAGGATGTTCCATAGTAAAAAGGAAATCTCTTAGTTTGATTATAAAATGTTCAAATGTGTACTGCACTTTTCAACAAGGAATACAAATTAT